TTGGATCTATGTTTTCTCTAAAATACATGCAAACAATAATTTCCAAGGTTTACATCCTAACTAGCATGGCATGAAGAACTAGAATCATAAAACACTAGAAGAATGACATACCTTTTGATAGTGATTGATTGCTTGGAGTTTGAGAGCCTAGCACCAATAATGTGAATGCCTCAAGTGGAATCACAAATCACCACAAACCTTGGAACCTTGAGAGAATAATATATGTGCTCTAGAAATTAGGCCACCACTCTTGTTCACACACACCTAGTGTCATTTCAAGCATCATAAGCTCCTTTATATAGTGTGGAGGATTAGGGTTATATCCATGTAAACCCTAATACCCATGACTCTTCCTTTCCAAGGATCCATGGGTTAAAAGCTCCATGGACTATCCATGGATTCCCATGCATGCCAAGCCCATTCCAAATGAGTATTAGCCCACACTACATAAAATACAAGAGCCCATATTTAATTAGTCACCTTTTTGATCACCAAATTAATTCTAAATTAATTTATGACCAATACTAATTAAATAATATGATTTAAAATTAATATATTATAACTTATAATATATTAATAAAGCATGAACATACTATTCTCAAAAGATTATCCAAACAAATTGTTCGGGTGAAGTGCAACCCAAATGGACCATGCCGGGTCGGGTCAAGTACATCTCAAATATTGTTATGGACTTAGACACCTTATCCAACAATAACAACAGTAATAATCCCAATAACAAAACAAAGGGCCGGCCTTGGTGCCTTAGACCCTTAAGTACAATGAGGATAACTCACCTCGCAAGCAGTGTCGAAGTACCGAAACCACTGATCGCTGTCTTACCGGAAATCCCGAACTATCACATAATAAATATCAAGTCAATACTCAACATTATAGTATTGACTAAGTGTCCACACAATCCATCATGTCCATTCTCTTTATTGGGCCAAGGCCCATGACCAAGTCCATAACCTTGAAAGTCCTTATACAAAGCCCACTATTGGCCCAATTTACCAAATTGGGCCCAACTCCCTAATTGGGCCTCACTCCAAGATACATTTGTTGGATTAGTGTCTAAGTCCATAACTATTTTGGTATGTACTTGACCCGATGGTGCATGGTCCTTTTGGGTTGCCTTCACCAAAGCAACTTGATAGGATGAATTATGGAGAGAAAGGATTAATTATGATTTATTAATATATTATATGAATAATATATTAAAGGAGAAATCATATTGTTTAATTAATATTGGTCAATAATTAATTAAGAATTAATTTTGTGGCTAAAAGAGATTAATTAAACTTAAGGGACTAGAACTATCAATTGTGTGATAGTTGAATATTGGGTTATTGGACTCCTTATTAGAGGAGTGGACGAATTCTATGGGGAAACCCATTAGAAATCGTCCAAGGCTTCTAAAGGAGGAGTCCATGGGTTGCTTAGGGCCTAAGCAGTCAAATTAGGGTTTCCTTGTTAGATAACCCTAATAGCCTCACTATTTAAGCACCCATAGGGCACCAAAAACGTGGCTATCTTATTCCTTAGGGTTTCTAGATGTTTTTGAGTGCCTCTCCTCTTCTCCTTCTTCATCCTCTTGCTCTTGGTGTTTGTGAGCCATTAGAGGAGTGGCATTTGTGACTCTAAGCTTTTCAGAAGCAAATTACAACAAGGAATAGATTGTTATTGCTACATAACAATCAAGGTAAGATCTAAACCCTATTCTTATGTTTATATTGATTATCACATGCTAGATCTAGGGTTTATGGCTTTGGATGATTATTGCATGTTCATTAGACAAACTAGATCCAAAGCTTTAGGGTTTGCATGTACACCATAAGAATGTTGTAGTGCTCAAAACCCATCACCATTATCAAAACTTGGCCCAAAACATTATATTCATAAAGTCCAGCAAAGGCCCAAATCCAACTAGTCCATAAACAACCCAAAACCCGAAGCCCAATTGTCAAAGGCCCAACAGAGGACGTACGCGGGGCGTACTCGTCCAAATGTTGACCACCATTGGGGTGGTTGACCAGCGTACTGGATTTACGCTGGGCGTAATGGATTTACGCTGGGCGTACGTTGGGTTTCACCAAAACCCTAATAAGTGCTTAATGGCTTAAGCACTTAAGCCCAAACTCCAGATCCATCGACCAAATGTGCCATAGGACTATAAAGTCTCGAACTTTATCACTTTGGACATCCAGAAAGTTCTTAACACATGGTCTTAATCCATTAAGACCTTCCTACTTCATGCATGAGACAAATCTAGCTATTGGGACACCATTTTTTATCACTTATGACCTCTTCTAAGGTCTGAAAGGACAATTCATTTCGTCCAAATCATAACATGCACCATTTTGGGACTTTTGGGACAAGAATGCTTCCATAAACTAAAATGACTAGATCTATCCCATACAAGAATAAAGTTCCAAGCTTTTTACCTTCTGGAGCTCCCAAAACAGACGATGAACCAAGATCTACAAGCCAATCTTCCCTCCTTGGGTCCTTGATGCACAAGCTCCTTCTTGAAAGCACCAAAAACACACTTATAAGCTTAAGAAGGATCACTAGGAGGCTAGGGTTCTCTCAAGGCGGCTGAGGGAGGTGTGGAGGCTGAAACAGATAGGAGGGTATGGTCCATAAGGTGCTTAAATACTCCACAAACCCTAAAAGTTAGGGTTCAATCCTGGCACACGTACGCCCAACGTACACATGCGTACGCCCAGCGTACTAGGGCGCGTCCTAGAACGCTTAGCGTACCACATGTATGCCCGACGTATTACTTAAGTTTCCAAACTTACCATTTTGCCACTAGGGCCTCCTTTTGCCACTTCCATCTAAATCAAGGGCCAAAATGACCTGATTAAAATCCGAGGGATGAATTTAAAGCTACTGGAAAAATGGGATGTTACAAAACAATACTTTTCAACTACTATGTACAGAAAGGGGTCAGGCATGAAACACCGGAGGGCAGGACCATTTTGGCATTTAAGCTATTCTGAAATCCAACAACTCTGTGCGACCCTTCAAACCACATTCCCCGTACCGCGAGCAGTTAAAAGGTATCATAATAACACTTTGTATAGTTTATAATACTTAGCACATATTTTGTTTATAGGTTCATAATAACGATAATGAACTTAAACATAAGTTATACTTAAAGTAGGGTAATCATAACCCACTTACAATGGGGTTTAGCTAGGAGCCGGACTCTGCGGGGGCGAAACTTCTGAGCCGAAAGCTCTTCTTCTCGGAGCCTTCCGGCGCTACGGGACTCGCCTCTAACACTTGGAAAGTGCTAGGGAATGGGAGGGGCTAAGAGGGGTATTTGAGAGAGAAAGAATGGTATAGGTGTGAAAAAATGGAAGAATTGCGCATCTATTTATAGGCTGCAGCCTTGGAGTACGTTGGGCGTAACTTCGGAGTACGCTGGGCGTACTCAGTACGCGGTGCAAGTGTCATCATCGCATGCGAAGCCGTGGAGAGAAAGGGAGGGTCCGGATCTTGCCACGTGTCAGCCTCGCATCAACCCATAATTTAATTAACTTCTAAATTCCGTAACTTTTGCATACGAGCTCCGTTTTTAACAGATTTAGACATATAAAGTCCGTTAAAAATCCATAACTTTGTCATCCGACGTCCGTTTTCGTCTGTCTTTATATCGTTGAGCTCCTATTAACGAGATCTTCGATTCTCGTTTAGGTTGTGTCGGCTAAAAATCGGTCGGTCTAAAATTCGATTTTCGGGCTGTGTACTACTATGCAAATCATAACTTCCTCATACGAAGTCAGATTTGGTCGTTCTCTATATGCACGATTTCGGTTTAACGTCTACTACGTCTTTCGTTTAGATCGCTAAAGCTAAAAAACAGTTTATCAAAAATTCACTTTTTACGATACATAGCGTCGTGCCGGTTTTGTCGCAAAACTTCGACGGGTCATAACTTCTTCGTTATAAGTCGGATTTTAGCGTTCCTTATATGTACGAAATTCTTGTGACATATACTATACTTTGGTTAAGATTATTTATTCTAAATAATCTTCTATCAAAAAGTTATTGTTAACGCTTATTGTCTCTAAATTGACTAGCCCGAATCTGCGGGCGTTATATAAATGAACAAGTTAAGAATGTTAGTGTGAGCATACCGTATCTAGGACCAACATCAAAATTTTCTATTCTAGCATGTATGTTCCAAGTGACCACTGACCACTACATTGAGCTTGTTCTTGAAGTATTGGTATTATGGGTTTCTTGTGGGAGAGTTTACCCATGTGGATGGTACACGTTTTTTTTTTCCTAGTGTTCGATTATGATCGTTTCCATGAACGTTTTGGTTTTCAAAGGGTAGTATAGATAATGTAATTGGAAATAACTAAAATGCCAATGCGTGCAAGACACACGATGAGTTTAATTCTTTATACATGTCAAATTGTTAAGTCTGGGACCAAGCGTGTAACTAGTTTATGCTTTGAGGACCGTCTATGTTAAAAAACTTTTTTAAGGATAAACGTGTAAGTTACCCAAACCACAAAGACCATTAATGTAAAATATTAAAAAAAAATAAAAAATAAAAATTGCTAGGGGTATTTATGTGATTTGGTGTATCACTTCAACCCGAAAAGGTACTTGATATTCAAACACTGATAATTGATTCAACCTAAATTTTTCTCAACTACTGCCAAAATAACAATGTAGAAGGTTTACGAGTAAAAAATAAAATCACTTTGATGGCAAAAATATATATCCTTGACGATTGGGCAAAATTATCCCAATATATATTTACCAAATTACCCCTTTTTTTTTTACTAAAACTTGTTTTGTTTTAATGGGCATTTAGGTAAATTGGTGTATTGACATTGTTTAGCCCTTTTTGGTAAATGGATTATTCTCTTTTTTACGATAATAATATAAAAAACTCAAAATTTTCAGCCGTCAAGATTTTACTCCGTCAATCTCCATTCGTTAAATCCTCCCACGCCTCTTTGCCCTAACAAATCCTTCCTCATCAAACCAAGATTCACAGACTCTTTCTCTTCGTTTTTCCCCAAAATTATTTTCTTTAAATTTATATAATTAATTCAAAAATCATAAATTTACCGGATCTGAACTACTCGTCGGCGCTTAAACCCGTCTTCTTCATCAATCTCCGAAACCCTAAAAGTTACCAGAAAACTCAACTGATTGCTCCTTGAGTTGGGTTTGCTTCGGTAAAGATCGAAGAGCTTTCCTTTTTCTTGTTCTATAGCTGGTGAGTTCTTGAATTTGTACATACATATATACGTGTATGCATGCAATTGTTGATTTTGCGTATGTTCTCTAAGCAAGATTTGTTGTTTTTTCCTTTCTGGGTTTTCCCGAGGATGAAAGAACGAACAGGAAAGAAAAAAGAAAGAAAAATAGAAGCTTGAATGGTTGTCTTTTGATTTCTTATCAGCCAAGAGCGAAAATTTAATTCTGAAGGTTTTAGTTTAGTACATTTTAGTTATAGTTTTCTTCTAAAAACCGTAATTTACTACATTGGGATTATTTTTAGCCATTTGAATGGTACATGTCTGTGTCCTTGTTTGTACTTCCAAAGTTTAATCCTCCAAATAATCTTACACCTATTATAAACTTTGTATGCCATTTGATTAAGAACTTCAAAGAAAAATTCTTGATTTTTGTTGTTTGATGCAGATTTTTTGAAGTAATGTCCTGAATTTTGAGGAAGTCATGGCCTCTAAAGGTCCAAGGTCTAGACTTGATCATGAGACAAGGGCCAAACGGCAAAAGGTAATTCACAGAACATAAACATATTGCATATAGATCTATCCCCAATTTATATGTTATTCATGGTTGAATCTTTCATAGATTTAAGCATCTAGCCAAGTTGAAATCCTACTTTGTGTATGTATTTCATCATTTCATCTATTCAATCTTGCTTTTTTTTTTCTTTGTGCTTTTTTCATCTGCCAAATGCATTTAGTTTTCATTTATAGATGAGAGGTTTCTTGTAGTCAAATGATAAGAAAGAAGAAATTAAAAACAGAAGGTGATAAGTTTTGACTAAAGTCAATGACATTGATATATTTATGTGATTATGTCTCATTATGTTAGGCACTTGAACCACCCAAGGAACCCCAGAGGCCCCGAACACACTGGGACCATCTTTTAGAAGAGATGGTGTGGTTATCAAAGGTACAATCTTGTTCTATATCAAATGTTATTTTTTTAATAAAAATATTATATATTCTCACTTATCATTAGATTAATTAAGTGAAAATTTTGTTGCAATGTATGATTTACTTCCAGGATTTTGAGTCTGAGAGAAAATTTAAATTAGGCCTGGCAAAGAGGATTGCCATAAGGGCCAGTAAAGGTATGGTGGATCAAGCTACAAGAGGTGAAAGAAGAGTGAAGGTTAGTTGTTCTTGTTCTTTTTCTTGTTCTCCTAAGTTTGAAAATTCTAAAATTCAATCATATGAAAAATCTAGTTACATATGAATGTGGTGTTCATCATTGTCAATGCTTTCACAGGAGGAAGAGCTTCGGATGAAAAAAGTTGCACTTAATATTTCAAAGGATGTGAAGAAATTTTGGACGAAAATCGAGAAGCTGGCAAGTTATTCTATGATTTAGTGATGTTGGAATTTTAAATTTCTTTATAATTTGGATCCAAAATTGTAATGGGTCATGAAATATTATGTGATTTCAGGTGCTATACAAGCATCGATTAGAGCTTGATCAAAAGAAGAAAAAAGCACTTGATAAACAACTTGAATTTCTTCTAGGCCAAACAGAAAGGTAACGTTTTTTTTAATAAATATTTGTTTTCTTTAACATTTAACATCTAATTATTTCAATGAAACAGGTATTCAACAATGCTGGCAGAGAACCTTGTAGATTCGTCTCCACGTCAGCATGTCCAGCTGTCATCTGTACAAGAACAACGACCTGCCATTGAATATAAAGATCAGAGTGATGTTAATGGGTGTGCTGAACCAAATGTTGGTATGAAGAAAGTGTTGGTTTTCATTTTTAATTAAGTAATTTTCTTTTTGGTTGCCAAATGATGACATAAATCCCATTTTAAACATGTTTTTTTAAATCTTTTGGCAGAGTCCCAGTCAAATATTTTAGAAACTGACGAAGACTACAAGGCTGAAAATGAACCTGTAAGTATTTGCTCTTTTTATGTTTAATTGTTAGAAACCTCATTTGTTTTTATTTGTTGGGAAGAAAAATGCAAATAAAAGTTAGAGTATCATCATCAGTTTCTTTTTAACTTGTAATATTTCATATGAGCTGAAGTTGAGCTCAAATATCTCGATTTTATTGCTGCTTTAGGAAGATGACGAGCATACTCTTGAGGAAGATGAATCCCTCATAACAGAAGATGAAAGGCGAGAGGAATTAACAGCTTTGCAAAATGAAATGGATTTACCCCTTGAGGAATTACTTCGTCGTTATACTGTTAATGAAGGTTAGTTGTTGTGAGCTTCTTCTTCTGCCACATGTCATCTTCTCATTGGATGTGTATGGTGGTTTTAACTTTTATTCTTTTATCTTTTAATATGAAAATATTTTCAGAAAGTACTCCAGGAAAGACTGAAGGTGAAGCAGAACTAGCCCATGCACCAGAGGACAACTTATTGTGTAAGTAATGTTGTTTGAATTTATTGTTTTAATTATAATAACGTGTTCATATAATCATATTTTATAAGTGATTACTTTTTGTAGGTAATGGAAATGACAATTCTGACCCCGGATTGAAAGAGAGTCGTCATTGTGTAAGTTGTAGGTCCTCATTATGGTTACTAACCTAAACTGTGAAGCACTTCACTGTTGAGCATCATAATTTTCTTGCTCTTATTGCAGGCTGAAAGTAATGGTGGATTATCAGTTTTAGAAAATCATCATCCAGAAGTCAAAGAACATTATGTTAGAAAACGTAAAGGTCTTAAGAAGCAAAAAAAATATTTGGAATTGGACTTCAATGATGAAAATGTAAGTAAAAAAGAAACATCTTATTTTCACATATACCAAATACTCATATGATTTCATGATTTCTTTTATGTAGGAGGATGTCGACTTTGTACTTGCGAATGGAGAGGAAAAGGTATGTTATCTAATTATCATGATATGATTAACCATACATAGTTATGAGATTTATTATGTTTTTGATTTCTGAATTTATATAATGACATAAACATGTTATTTCATTATCTATTTTTGCATTTACAGGATGATGAAACGACCTTATTGGAGGAAGAAGAACTAGCAAAGACTGAAAATCATGATTCAGTAGATGAGGTGAATGATTTGGCTGCACATTTTTATCTTATTATTACATTAATCCCATGATTATATTATTATTAGTATAAAAATTTAAAAGTTGAGATCAATCTTATAAACCAAGCTATCATCTTTCAGCTTGCAATGTTGCAAAAGGATAGTGAAATTCCAATAGAGGAGTTGCTTGCAAGGTATAGACAGGTATGTTGATAAAAATGAAAACTTGCTTCTAGAAACTTCTAGATACATTCTAATCTTGTTTTCTTTTTGTCTCATTTTATATTTTCAACAGGATCCTGATACTCTTCAAAGTGATGAAAATGATTCAGGCTCCGAAATTGAAGTTCCCGATCAGGAAGAGAAGCCAGATCAGATTGCTGACGATGGCGGGGAGAACGATGACATCATCGCTGACGCAGCAGCAGCCGCCAGGTCAGCACAGCCGACAGGGAACACCTTTTTAACAACCAAAGTCAGGACAAAATACCCTTTTCTATTAAAATTCTCTCTTCGTGAATACCAACACATCGGGTTAGATTGGCTTGTAACAATGTATGAAAAAAGACTTAATGGGATTTTAGCAGATGAAATGGGGCTTGGGAAAACAATCATGACAATCGCGCTTCTTGCACACCTGGCATGCGAAAAGGGTATATGGGGCCCACATCTGATTGTGGTCCCCACAAGTGTCATGCTCAATTGGGAAACTGAGTTTCTAAAATGGTGTCCCGCTTTCAAAATCTTGACATATTTTGGAAGTGCAAAAGAACGGAAACATAAAAGACAAGGGTGGTTGAAACCGAATTCTTTTCATGTTTGCATCACAACCTACAGACTCGTTATTCAAGATTCCAAGATTTTCAAGAGAAAAAAATGGAGATACTTGATTTTGGATGAAGCCCATTTGATAAAGAACTGGAAGTCTCAAAGATGGCAAACACTTTTGAATTTCAACACAAAAAGACGCATACTTTTAACGGGTACCCCTTTACAGAATGATCTCATGGAGTTATGGTCTCTAATGCATTTCTTGATGCCACATATTTTTCAATCTCATCAAGAGTTTAAAGATTGGTTTAGTAATCCAATAACAGGAATGGTTGAAGGCCAAGAAAAAGTCAACAAGGAAGTCGTTGACCGGTTGCATAATGTTCTCCGGCCGTTTATACTCCGGCGACTGAAACGGGATGTTGAAAAACAATTACCTTCAAAACATGAACACGTTATTTACTGTAGACTCTCGCGTAGACAACGAAATCTCTATGAAGATTTCATTGCCAGCTCAGAGACTCAAGCAACCCTTCAAAGTTCTAACTTTTTTGGGATGATTAGTGTTATAATGCAATTAAGAAAAGTTTGTAATCATCCGGATTTATTCGAAGGTCGCCCGATTATCAGTTCGTTTGATATGAATGGAATCGAAACCCAATTTTGTTCTTCGGTTTGCTCGGTTCTTGAATCCGGTCCGTTTTCAACCGTTGATCTTACAGGATTAGGGTTTGTGTTCACTCATTTTGACTTTGACATGACATCATGGGAAACCGAAGAAGTTGAATCAATCGCCACACCTTCTGAACTAATCAAATCACGTGTAGTAGAAGAATCCATGAGTCGACTCGAGATCAAGACCGGGTCAACCGGGTTTAACATCTTTGAAGAGATTCAAAAAGCGCTCATGGAAGAGAGACTCAAAGAAATGAAAGCACGGGCCGAATCGGTTGCATGGTGGAATTCGTTGCGGGCCCGTAGAAAACCAATGTATTCAACGGGTTTACGGGAAATTGTTTCGGTGGAAAATTCCATTTCTACCCTTACGGGTTTACATGACATTGTGTTTTCTCCTGTTGACCGGTTCAATCAGATGGCTGACCAGGTTGAAAGTTTCATGTTCGCGATCCCGGCTGCCCGAGCACCACCACCGGTCGGGTGGTGCAGCAAACCGGGCACCACCGTGTTTGTCAACCAAGATTATAAAACAAAATGTTTGACACTTTTGTCCCCACTATTAACACCGATCAGACCCGCCATTGTCAGGCGGCAAGTTTACTTTCCCGATAGGCGGTTAATACAGTTTGATTGTGGTAAACTTCAAGAGCTTGCGGTTTTGTTAAGAAGGTTAAAATCGGAAGGTCATCGGGCTTTGATTTTCACTCAAATGACAAAAATGCTCGATGTTTTGGAAGCTTTTATAAATATATATGGGTACACTTACATGCGGTTAGACGGGTCGACCCAGCCCGAAGAGAGGCAGACATTAATGCAACGGTTCAATACAAACCCGAAGTATTTTCTTTTCATTTTGTCAACCCGGAGTGGTGGGGTCGGGATTAATCTTGTCGGGGCCGATACGGTTATTTTCTATGATAGTGATTGGAATCCAGCAATGGATCAACAAGCTCAAGATCGTTGTCATAGGATTGGGCAAACACGTGAAGTGCATATTTACAGATTGATCAGTGAAAGCACGATTGAAGAGAATATTTTGAAAAAGGCGAAACAGAAACGGGCTTTAGATGATTTGGTGATTCAGAGTGGGGAGTATAACACTGAGTTTTTTAAGAAGCTTGATCCGTTGGAGTTGTTTTCCGGTCACGGGAAGAATTCCGGTTCTGGAGTTGCAATTCCGGTTCCAGTTCCGGTTCCGGTGTCGAATGCCGATGTTGAGGCGGCGTTGAAACATGCGGAAGATGAAGCGGATTACATGGCGTTGAAGAAAGTGGAGCAGGAAGAGGCGGTGGATAATCAGGAGTTTACTGAAGAAGCGATTGGGAAACTTGAAGATGATGAGCTTTTGAATGAAGAAGATGGAAAATTTGAGGAGTTGGGAACGGGACAGGTGGAGGGTAATAATCGGGAAATGGTTATTTGTAGCGACCTGAATGGGGACCCGGGTTTGACTTTGGTCAAGGGTGATGATGGTGATGATGATGACATGGCGGATGATGTGAAACAGATGGCTGTGGCGGCTGCAGCCTCGGGGCAGGAGATTTTGTCTTTTGAGAATCAATTGCGTCCGATTGATCGGTATGCGGTTCGGTTTCTTGAGATGTGGGACCCGATTGTTGATAATGTGGTTATTGAGTCAAAGGATAGATTTGAGGGAGAGGAATGGGAGTTGGATCATATTGAGAAGTTGAAGGAGGATATGGAAGCTGAAGGTGATGATGATGAGGAACCTTTAGTTTATGAAAGTAAGCTCCTTCTTTGTGCTCTTGTTGTTACCAGTAGGGGTAGCTTGGTAATTTTACATTTTATTTTGTTAATTGGTTTTCTTACAACTTCTTTTTGTGATGTTATTATCAGCATGGGATACTGAGTTTGCTACTAAAGTATACCAAGAACAAGTCAAAGCATTGGCTGAACATCAGGTAGGGGTAGTTTGGTAATTTTACTGTTAAAAGTTTATTATTATTATTATTATTATTTTCTTTTAATGTTTTGTAGTTGATGGAAGAGCGTGAAATGGAAGCTAGAGAAAAGGAACTTGAGGAATCTGACTCACTGAAGTAAGTTTGTATTCTAAAAAGCTTTTAGGTCTCATTTCTCATTTCTTAATGTGTAAAGTGAAAAGAGGCAGGGTTTATGCATTCAGACCCTTCTTTTTTCTGTTTTACACTTAATCCTCACAAATTCTTACTACTTTATTCTTGGAGAGAAGGGTAAAATGGTCATTTACTTCTTATTCTTCCCATCTGAGCAGGAATGAACTGGTTGTTAAGAAACCAAAGTCAAAGAAAAAGACGAAGAAAACAAAGTTCAAATCTCTGAAAAAAGAAGCTTTATCATCCGAAACAAAGCCAATAAACATAGAATCACCAATAGAATTCGATGATGATTATGTTGACGATGAAATAATTTTTTTAAAAAAACGCAAAAAACCTTTGGACGAATCCACCTCAGAAGTGAAGAGTTCTTCCAAAAAGTCAAAAAAGCCCAAAAAGACCCCCGAACCAATCCCATTAGACATGGATTCAAATTCCTTAATCAAGCAACAAGATGAACCGAGAGATTTGAAACCGTGTGTAAATAACAATCTTGAAATTGATCATAAACCGGTCATTAGGGGCAAAACGGGACTAAAAATAACGGTCACTACGATGCCGGTGAAACGGGTGATGACTATAAGATTGGAGAAGTTGAAGAAGGGAAGCATATGGCCTAATGATTGTGTCCCTACGCCAGATTCTTGGTTGTCATCGGAGGATGCTATGCTGTGTGCAGCTGTACATGAATACGGTGTGAACTGGAGTTTGGCAAGTGAGATTTTGAATGGGATGACAGCTGGCGGGTTTTACCGGGGGATTGTAAGGCACCCGGTTCATTGTTGTGAGAGGTATCGAGAGCTTGTTCAGAGACACGTGTTGTCTATTTCTGACAATAATGTTCATAATGAAAAAGCCAGTAATGTTGGTGTTGGGAAAGCTCTTCTAAGAGTAACTGAGGTAACATTCCTCAATTCCAATGCCTATAATTTTTTGGTGGTTTTTATAACAGTGAGACATTTCTCTAATGTAGGAGCATGCAAAAGACGTTGTTGGATATGGTGTCGGAACTTCCTGATCAAGCTTACACTCTTCAAAAGCATTTCTTCCACCTACTCACATCTGTTTGGAGATCAACCACTCGCTCCGGTCACCGGAAAACCCCATTGTCTCTCAGAACCGGGCAGCGGGTAAACCATACCTCTCGTGATCCGGTCAGGCCACAATCGGAAAGAATGGAGTTCACTAACCTAAGGCAGATTAGCAGATTAGTATCCGATGCACTTGAAAGTTCTCAAAATATACCAAGGGAAGATAGGGTTTCAAGTTTTAGTGAAAGACGTGAGGTTCGATCTGTCGGGCAGCTGGGAATCACTCTCGAGTTTCCTCCGGGCAGAGATGATCAAAGTGTTCCGTTGCCTTCGGTTGTTTCTTTATCCATAAATGACACGGAACCTGTGCTGCCCGAAAACCTGCCCGTGGGCGGGAATCATTGTTTTAGATCATCCAAGGATACCGTTGAATGCCGATTCAGGTACTCTCTATTAACCCATACAAGTGAAATTTGTTTTTTGGAATGTAAGTGTAAAATGGTCATTTAGTAAATAAAGAAACCTTACCATTATAACATTCAGTAAAAAGTAAACATCACTATATTAACATTGTACACAAACTCTTCTACAGGGATGCATCAAGAGCCGCCATTGATGGTGGTTTAGGTTTGCCGTCATTGGCTTCTCCGGCAACCGATGTCAAGTCCCGGACACCAGCCAAATCTCAATTATCCGGAAAGCATCATCGGAATCCCGAATTACCATCGAAGTCGTCGAAATCCAAATCAAGGAAAGCAATCACGGATTCCAACGAAGCTTTTTCCCTACTCCGTGATCCCAATTTACAACCATCGATGCCACCCATTAATTTGTGTTCAAGGTTTGATACGGATACGGAATCTTCAATGGATGATTTTCTAAGTGCATCTTCGATCGATTTAGGCAATGAACTCTCGTTTGATATAGTGCCCCATGATTATGACCCGGGATTCACCTCGGGTCTTGAAGATTGTTTGTTATCTCGGGAGTTTACTGATATTGGATAGGGTTGGAATTAAGGTAACCAGGGTGGTGTGTTTTGATGGGACCCACATTGTGTATTGTTTGATGACCTGGCGGGCAGGTGTTTTTGGGTTGGTGAAAGAAGAGAAAGACTAACTTGGTGTATCTGGAATGCTGACCGGACCGAAGATGGGGCACGCGATGATGATTCTTGGAAGATTACAAGATTTTGCACATAAAATGTAACATTGTATAGCATGTGGGCCCGTTAACATTGTAACTTTTTTTTTCCGGTTGGTTGGTTGGGTGGGAAATCGTGCTCTTTAGTTATCGGGTTTTGGTTGGAGAATTGAATTATTTTAGGCACATTCCCCTCTCATAGTGTAGGATTAGAAACAGGAAATTAGTCTTTGAATGAAAAAGAAATTTATTCTCTCTCTCTCTCTCTCTCTCTCTCTCATTTTTTGGCAGGTTTAGAGCTTGTTATTTGATTTCTTTATTTTTCAAATGTGAAGATTTATGAAAGTAATCGGATCTTGCAGCTTCAGGTTTGTAGTTTTAGATGGTGAAAACTCGGGGGTTATATTGTTTGCTTTTGTTTAGTTCTGTTTTGCCATGGTTGAAGTACAATGTGATATGCTTACAAACGTTAACGAATTGTAGAAAAAATGCAAATAAAACTGTAAACAAATCTATTATTTGTATATTTATTTTTCTGATTACAACGTACAAAAGGAAAAGATTGCGAACGTTAATTGTCTTGTGCATTTGTAAGATATGATCATCACAGAATCCACCAATGGCACAACATAGGGCCTTTTGAACCGGTTATGCCCGGTCCAGGGCCTGAAACGGTTAACATGTCCCAGTGCCTACCTATCACACCCACGTGGCTCTCAGACAGGCTTCTTGATTGGCGACTTGGTTGAAATAACAACGGTCTAAATTCTAATAGTTAAAACTTGATTCCAACCATCTCTAACCACCATCAATTTTGAAGCTGAAATTTAGAGCCAACCTAATCCACCGTTGTGTTTAATTTTCTTTTCCATGATCTTGTTAGAATTAATGGTTTTAATCGATTTAAGTAAAAATCGGTAGGTAAATGCTATGCTCGACCTTTAATTGTTATAAAGGAAAAACGGATAAAAAGGATACGAAGTTTTTCGAAGTGTGCTTACATGCTTACAACATCATCAACCATTATCAATATATCACAAAAATAAAGGTGAGTTTCAGAAGTATTCGGGAAATAAAGATGAGATGAAGTAGTCCTTTGTTGAAGAATTTGAATCCGAACCAGGTGCAAATGTTGGATTCAGTTTTCACCGAGGCTGAAGTGAGATTGGCAGCGTGGCAGTGTGGTAGTGATCGGCCGGACAATTTACATTTCGTTTCATAAAAAAATATTGGGATAAAAGCTGATGTTTGTGCTTTTGTAACTGATTTTTACAAGAATAAACAAAATCATGCAGGATGTAACTCTTCATTTACTACGTTGATGCCAAAGAAAGGTAATCCTATTTTTTTTTTTGTAAGATTATAAACCAATTAGCTTGATAGGAGTGCAGTACAAAATTATTACAAAAATCCTAGGTAATCGATTAGACGATTAGCTCGAGTTGTTGATGATCCCGTGAGTATGGAGTAGTCTGCCTTTGTTAAAGGTAGACCAATTTTAGACAGCCCTCTCATGGTTAGTAAAATCATAGAATGGTACAAGAAAAAAAGACAAAGTTAATGGTGTTTAAAGTCGATTCTGAAAAGTTGTACGACTCAACCATCTGTGAGTACTTATTCATGATTATGAGACTTATGGGGTTCGGGAGTAGATGGATTGATTGGATCAGTAATGCCTTACATCATCATTTCTTCACTTATGGTTAATGAAATCGCTACCAAAGAGTTTCAATTACAAAGTAGCCTTAGACAGGGTAACCCTCTTTCTCCGTATGGGGAAAGTTTGCATGCTACCATGGACGATGCTCTAGTTCATGGGTTATTTCGTGAAGCCAAGGTTGCGATAGAAGGATTGAGTGTGTCTCATTTATTCTATGTAGATGATGCTCTCTTCACGAGGGAATGAAACGAAGCCAATATCGCTAACTTGGTAATCTTGTTAAAATGCTTTTATCTTGTTTCAGGTTTGGACATTAACTTGCAAAACTCAAACTTGTTGGGTATTGAAGTTTTACTAGCTGATGTTCAAAATATGGCGATCATAACGGGTTGTAGTACAACCTTGTTACTGTTCAAGCATCTTGACCTTCTAGTTGTTTTAAATATGTCGAGACTAGCTAGCTGAAAAGTTGTGATAGACAAGTTTAAAAGTAGAATGTCAAAATGGAAAACCAATATGATATCAATTGGTGGACGGTTAACCTTAATCAAGTCAATTCTTGGCAGCTTGGGGATATACTTCATGTCATTATTTAAAGTGCTTGAAACTATTTGCAAACATATAGAAGCGATTAGAGCTAGATTTTTTTGGGAGCGGATGAAAATGAAAAGAAAATTAGTTGGGTCAAATGGGATCTAATTTTGAGATCGAAAGAGAAGGGTGGATTAGGAGTGGGGTATCCTTTTGGTGTTTAATAGCGTTCTTTTACAAAAATGGAGGTGGAGATTTCATACGGAGATAAATTGTTTATGGTTAAAAGTCATAAAAAAGATTCATGGGTCTTGTGGGTGTGTGAGGTTTGAGGGGAAGAAACCAAGAATGTGAAGAGCGTGGAATGCGATTGTGGTATCTATGCATTGTCTTAATGAAAAATAGATTATCCCAACCAACACATTGAGAATGAGAGTTGGACATGGGAACTATATTCGTTTTTGGCTTGAATCGTGGATTGGGGGGATAGGTACAAATATTATATGAGATGAAATTATAAAAAGATTGTTTCATAAGTTATCGTTGACAAAATGGTACTTGGGAGTGGAACTAGAGAAGACTGGGGGGGGGCAGAATTGATTCAACTCAGTCACAACTTTGGAGGAAATAGTGGCTGCCTTTGCTTCTAGTTCGAACTTGGATGGTTGGATTTTGGAGTTGAGTCCCACCGAGGTTTATATGTTGTTTGTACGAGACAATATGTTGCCGAGGTTATGTTGGGAAATGGGAGTTTTATAACTCGTTGGAACAAAAGTGTCCCGATAAAAAAAATGTTTTATTACGCGCGCGCCGGGGGGGGGGGGGGGGTTATGCTTAATAGAATTCCTACAAAGTTAAACTTGGAGGCTAAAGGAATCGATACCCCTTCAACGATGCACCCGATTTGTGAGAAAGAAGTGGAAGATGTCAATCATTTGTTCATGAATTGTGAAGTTGCTAATCAGGTTTGGTTATTTGTGTTCAAGTGGTTTAATTGCCCGTTTTCGTTTATTGATACGGTCCATGATTTGTTCGTTTTATGGATACTATGGTGATGGCGAGACAGAGGATGAATGCTTTATACACTATAAGCATAAAGCATGACTGGTATATTGGTGTTGTGGACGTATCAAAATATTCTCGTTTTTGGCTTGCAAAAGTTTCCTAAGAATATCTTTGTTGATAGAATAGTGCTTCATTCCTTTGAGTGGATTAAGAATAAGAATAAAAACTATATTTTTACTTGGAATGACCGGTTACAAAACCCCATCATGAATATTTCTATGTAATTGCTTTTTTTCTTGTTAGTTACTTGCTAACCTTAATAATATGAATCCGTTAAAAAACCCGTAAAAATGTGCAGTTATCTCCTTATAGCCAACTTTTGAGTCCTTTACAAAACTATTGTCCTTTTCGAAATAAGCCATTTCGAACTAGATCAAATTTGTTTCATACTAACTTTACTCACATCAAAAATACATTTTTCTGAAAAAATATATATCTCGAATTCAAATTTTGGACCAAGCAATATGTAAAAGGGAAAAAAATATTATGGATTTCAAAAAAATGTCCGAAATCTGATTACAAACTTGTCAATAGGGTGACCGTAAGAATTTTATGAATTTGGATTTTAATTTTCGATTCGTTTACCCGTTTACGATCCATACCCATAAACCATTTTATTAAATGGATTGAATATGGATCATTGTTGTGACACCCGTAAATTTGAGCTAGACGTTTAAGAGATTATAGTTTTTTTTTTGGAACGGAAAATATAACCTACTTCTACACTATTCCTTAATCTTATGTCCCAGACGAGACTTGAACCCTCGACCTCAAGGAGGAGGGACAACACCTGATACCACTGGGCTAGAAACCCTTTGGTTAAGGGATTATAGTTATGATTATTCATTTCTATTGGATAATCAAAATCCTCAAATAAGCTTATTTAGAATAAATGATCTAAATGAAAGTTGTAGTAGTCGTGAATACGAACTCGTGAGTATAAAGATCGCCAAAATCTGACGTCTCGTATGAAGAAATTATGAATTTCGCAAGGTCATTCACAATATAATCTTTATAAACTATAAAGTGAAAAAAGAATGCGAATTAGTTGTTGAATCTAAAGGAAAGTTGTAGCACACCAAATTACGAAACCATAGATATAAAGAACGTCGAAAATGGAGCTCATATGCGAAAATTATGATTTTTCGAAGAATGCGAGAAATTACTTGTGAAGGGTGACGTGGCACCACAAGAACGTACCATGTGGCACCTAGAGACCCAACTCCCCAACCTAACCGGCGATGATTTGACACCTCTTAAAACGCGACACGTGGTAGGGCATGACGCGCTTTTCAAAAACTAGTATAAATGGCCAATTTTTTCTACATCTTTTTCACACCATTCTCTCTCAACTTTTCCCGCACCCTCGGGATCCGTCTTTTCTGAGTTTCCAGGATTTTCAGCGATGCACTCCAGCATTGGAAATCCCGACAAAAAGAAGTATCCATCATCAAAGTTCTGCCCACGAAGTTTCTGAGTTTTTTGCTAGAAAACCTGTAAGTTGAGTTGCACTTACTATGCTTTTAAGTGTAACTTATATTTATGTTCATTGTTGTTGTTATGAACCTATGCATAAGATTTATTAGTAATTCCATTTATAATACTAATTGATCTACTTACGGGAGTGATGTCTAGTAAAGATCATAATGAGGTGTTTAAAGTGGATTTTCCAGACAATATATTTATATACCGAACATGTGCTTTTGGGAAATTATAGGGTTTGTGGTGGAGATCTGGATACCAACTTGGATCGTGATATCACTTTCGAACTGATATTTCTACCCTATGCCTGGGTTACAAGAAATTAAGCCTAGGATAATCCAAGTGGACACTTACGATTATAGGCATAGAAATCGCAAGCCAATATGCTAGAGGATTCTGAGAGTATGATGAAAAACGAGAGCTTAAGAACGTATATCTCTTCTGAAAAGAAGAGCCGTTTATATAATAAACGATATTAGGGTTTCATTAGGGTTGAGCCGATATGGATTCCTTTTGAAT